AAATGGAGGCGTCCTTGACTGTCCCTGGGCTTCAACATTATTTTGGGCCAGTTGTGAGTCTTCCATTGTAACAGATTTTAGCGTCTGATCATTTCCCTAGGTACCCCTCTTGATTTTGTAAATTTATCCTTCCTGGTGGGATATTCAAACGGAAACTTTTTTAAAATTTTCCCACGATCACCCATGATAAACTTTGTTGCACATGTGACTAGGGTATAATTCCTATGAGTGTTCCTCGGGTAAAAGCCCTTAAAAAACAATGATTTTTGTGAGAGTTTTAAGAACACTTGGGAGCCCCCCACTGCAACCTCTTGGTACTCTAAACCCCAAAAAACCCTTCCGAAATTAATCAACCTCCTTAAAAAACCAAAACTTATTACAATGTTTCAAACTTCGTACACTGCCCCCGTACTGCTCGCAGACTAGGCCTAGCCTTAAAAACATCGTACCCCCGGGAATCCCGGGGCTCTTCCAAACTCCCTTGCTGCTGCCAAAAGAGCGTATGACAAAACCCTGGGGAAAACCGACGGGGAAAAATTTTTGTCAAGGGTTCTTAATCCCCCCCGCACCCCCCCCACTTACCCCGGGCTGGGGGGAAAAAAATAAATTTAAAAGGGGAAAACCCGAACGGGGGCAGACCCGCGCACCCTCATCCCTTCCCATAGGGCAATGATTTTTAGTCAGTGCTTGGGCTGTACATCTAGCTATGACAATTTTCCCCCAGAAACCACACGGGCCCAAAATTAAATGATAAATATAAATGAAAGGGAAAGACTTGTTTGCTTTGCTCAGGGGGCAGATGTTTGCAACATTCCTTTCCTAATTATAAACTTGTTTGCAGCGCAAAAACAAAGGGGGAAAAACTCCAGGGTTCGCCTGGTGAGGATGGTTTTATTTTAAAACATACTCAGATTGCTTTTGTCAAAGTACCAGGAAAATCCTTTAAATTTAAAATTATATAACATGAGCTATGAAAACTGGGGAGCTCCCTCAATCTTTGGACCCAACCCCCTCATCCAAATTTCCCAATTTCCCAAGCCCAATCAAAAAAAAAGCAAATTTTGGGCCCAAAAATCTCTTACTAGTGCCCTTTTGTAAAACATTTGAGAGAATGATTCTTAATCTCTCATTTTTCAAATCAAACAATTTTTTGTCTCCCCCCCGGGTTTCATGGTTTTTTTGCATGGAAAAGGGGCGTGCATCATTGCATAGCCACCTTTTTCACCCCCGCACACTGGGCGTTTCCCACACTACCCTTTCCTTTTACCTTAAATTTCCCCTTTCGATTTTTAGCCAACCGACATGTAAAATTATGAACTTGGCCCCAAATGGAGTTGGGGGGGATGGCTTTCTTCCCCTGGATTTAAAGGGGTAAACCTTCCAACAGAAAAAAATTTTGTGTTGTTCCAGGGAATAGAAAATGTAAAATAAAAAACTTTGAATTAGGAACCCCCCAGGGAGGTGTGCTCAGTCCCACACTGTTTAATATTCTAATTAATGCATTTCTTAATTTCTTGCTTTGTCAGCCCCATAATTATGTGATTATTTTGCGTTTAAATAAAAATCCCCAAACCCCCGGATTTTTCCAACACCCAAAAAATTCTTAATTTTGTTTCTAGCCCCGTGTCAGGACCTGGGTGTTATTTAAACTCTACTGATAAAAACCAAAAGATACTCAAAAAAGCGTCCCTCCCGCAGAGAAAAAACAGTTTGCAGATCCAAATTTCATGATGGGTCCCCCTTCTAGAATATTTTAAGCAAAATTTCAGGTAACTAGGGTTTTTAGGTTCCACTACTTGGACCTGTTGTAACAAGACTTTGTCCCAATACAAAGAACGGGTAAAAAGCACTTAGAGTTTTTGGGGAGGGCTTCACCCCGGGATTGGGGGGCTAATGTTTTAAAAATTTTGAAAAAAGATTTATCTTGCTTTAAAATTAGATCCCTTGGGTTGGGTTATGGCCCGGCCACTACCCTTTCTCTTGTTTTCTGCTGGAAGCTTGGGAGGCTGGAAAAAAAAATGCCGAACGAAAACAATGAGGATCATTAGGATGGGCCCCCGTAAATGCCAAAATTTTTAAAAAGCAAAAAGAACTTGATTTTTCCAAGCATCAAAAGATCGTGTTTCGAAAGAAATATCCTAATTTGGGGGTTAAAATGCTCAGGCAAGCTCATTCAAAACCCCCCGCAAAAGAAGCCCTCCAAACTTTCCTCGCACTGGTGAACACTCCTCCAGATGGATTTGGGAAAAAATGGAACCGACCTCCGCATGAATCAGATACATGATCAAAGTAAGTAAGGCAACAAACGGCAAATTTTTCCGGCTCCATGGAATATTACCAACCCCTTTCCCAAAATACCATTCCCCCATTTCCCCCCCAAAAAATTCTTAAATCCAACCAAAAATTCGCCTTGAAACAAACATGGAGGCCTTAAGGGTTTTATTGATAACTTGTCCCCACAGGGACACACTCTCGGGAAAAAATTTTTTACGTTGATGGTTTTGTTCACCCAAACCATGGGGCAGCTGGTTTGTGCTGCTGTTTTTCGACAGGGGTGGGCTCTCTTTAAAAAAAATTGGAGCACGCATCAATAATTGGGCCTCTACCCTTCAGACAGAACTGTTTGCCCATTCTCCTTGCACTGAAATGCATTATGTATCAAAGATTTAAAAGTTTAAAATTTTAAAATGATTTCTTTTCAATCCATAAATGCTCTCAACTCATTTAAAACATAAAATTGGGGGCATGCTTTTGTCAGAAGCCAGACCCCCAGGTATGGTAGGATTTTGGACAGTGGAGTCCCGAGTGCACAAAGCGGGGGATTCCAAACTCCATTGGTCTTTTAGATGCATGTAGAACTGATAAATTTGGGTAAACTGTATGCTTTCAAAGAGGTTGGGGTAAAAAACAAAAATTTTGGCCTTTTCAGGTAGTAAATTTGGGGAACAAAAATACGAAAAAAAACTTCAGCTGAATTTTTTGGGGCTTAAGGCTCAAGGGGATTGGGCACCCCGTGGGGTCCATTTTATCATTTATTCCATCATGCAGGAGGAGCCACATGTCTATGGTGCATCCCCAAAAAAATAGCAGATCTTGGATGTCATTTCCGCCCGGGTCCCCGGGTGGGTTACCAATATCTTTGGGAGGTTAAATCACCCCCCAAATGAGACCAAACGAAATGTAAACTTTGCCAATGGGGTATTGTCACACCCCGCGTCTTTTTTGTACTGGAGTGCCCCTTTTAAAATTTTAAAGAATTTTGAAACAAATCCCCTCAGAAATTTTTCAAAAAAGGCTTAAATTTTTTTTTCCACAGTGGTAATTAAAAAGACCATTTTTGGAGAAATACCCCCGACTTTCAGCTGTAAAAAAAGCATTTCCACATGTGGATGTGTGGTGTGTGTGTGTGTGTGTGGGGGTGGGGTGTGTGTGTGTGTGTGTGAGTATGAGTTGTTGGGGTGTATGATGTGAAATGTGTGTATGAGTGGTTTTTGTGAGTATGAGTGTGTGTGCGTGTTGTATGAGTTTGTGTGTGTGTGTGTGTGTGTGTTTTTGTTTTGTGTGTGATGAATTTGTTTGTGTGTTTTGTGTGTGTGGGGTGTTGGAGAGAGAGAGAGAGAGACTCAGCAATCAAAAATTTGCCCAAAAACTCATTAAAAGTTTGTGACCCGGGTTTTGGGAAATGGGGAATTGCTCATTTTTCCCCTAAAATTTTTTTTCATGATTGCAGCCATGTATAAAAGTAAGGGAACCATTTTTTTCAGTATTCTTACCTTTGTAACTTTTGAGTTCATTACCCTTTTTTTTTAAATTGTGAGTTCAAATTAAACCCTTTTAACCCCAGTTCACCATCAAAAATTTTGGGGCCCGGGCCCCGGACCCTTGTTTTACCTCTGTAATCTGTAAATACCTTTGTAACTTGTAATGATTGTGACTAGACCTACCTGGAGTTCATTACCTTTGTAAATTGTGAGTTCATTACCTTTGTAAATTGTGAATTCATTGCCTCTGTAACTTGCTCAGCTATCAAAACTTTGAGGCCCAGTCCCTGGACCCATTATGTACCTCTGTAATCTTTTGACTACCGCCCACAGGATGGGTATGGGGTGCATAATAAACATATTAAACTAACTTAAACTCATAGAGATGTTTGTGTCTGGTGTTATGCCTATGGATCCTGTCACAACTATCAAGAAAGCATTTTAGGTCAAGGTTAATATTGGAATTTAAGGTCCTGTAGATATAGATTGCACAGTAGTAAGTGTGGATGTTCTGAACACGAAGTAAGTTTAGATCTATGAAAAGTGAGGGGGAAGGGTGTTGCCAGGGATGGGATTTAATGATTATTCTTACTGCGGCTTTTTGTTGGGTTATTATTGGCTTTAGGTGTGTTGCTGCAGTTGATCCCCAAGCACAGCATAGGTGAGGTATGGATATATAAGTGAATGGTATAGTGTGAGAAGGGCAGTTTGCGGCACGTAGTATCGTATCTTGGAGAGGATCCCCACCGTTTTGGATACTTTTTTGGTTGTGTTAAGATATGGGTGCTGAAGTTCAGGTTGTTGTCGAGGTATAGGCCTAGGAATTTGCCCTCATTAGGGTCTGGAAATTAATGTTGTTTTTTATATTTCGATTTTGGATTTATTTTTGTTTCTCAAAAATTTTAAATTTTTTTGAATAATAGGAAAAATTTAATATATTAAAAAAAAAAAATGAATTTTTCCATTATTTTTAAATTTATAATTTATTTTATTATTTTTAAATTTATTTTTATTAGGAAGCGCAAAAACCCGTGGGGTCTTTAAAGCCCCAGTAAAGGGGGAAAAGTTTTTCATACTGGGTTTTTGGTAAAAATTGACAGGAATATATTTGAGCGTTTTTGTGTGCACACTCCAACTAGACGGTCCAGCTGGCCCCCCTTTTGGAAGGGAAAAACTAAGCTTTTTGAATTTAAAATTTTTTTGGGGTAAAATTTCCCGAAAATATTTTAAATTTTTCAGGGTGATCGATGGAAGCCTCTGCCCCCTGCTGATATTTGGTTCACGGTCAGTCATGCTGGACTGTGTCCTGCTGTCCCGGGAGCTTTTGGGGCCGCCGCCTCCCGGGAAAAAACCCAGGATGGAGAAAATTTTAAAAAAGTTTGTCTTCATAATGATTTTTTTTCTCCCACTTTGTTTTTTTTCCCATTAAATATGGGGGGGCCAAAAAAGGGGGAAGCACATTCTCCTTCATTCATTCATTTGGTTTGTTTCTTATAAGTCTGTTGACATCACATTACAATTGAGCTCTAAACCTTTAACATCTTCTACCCAAGTGGGGGAACATTATTCTAACCCCCAAAAAGCAAGCAAAATTAACCAGTTTTTCCTTATACATGCTTTCTTCCTCACCTCAAACTTCTACCCCTTTCAAACTACTCGTTTCCCTCCGCCCCTATGGCACTCACATATGTAAGATGGAAGCTCAAGCCCCACCTTTTAAAAAACCTTCGCCCGGGGTCTTACAGTTTGCCCGGGGGAAAATATTAAAACCACCCCAGATTTTTTTCCCCTTCCTGGCTAATTTATTTTGGGGCTCGTAGTTAAATGAAAAACACGGGAGCCCGTTTTTTTTGGTGCGCTTTCCTCTTTTGTGCCCCGGGGTTTTTCTGTTTTTTACAGGTCGCTCTTACGTGCAAAGAATTTTAAATTTTTGTCCCATCAATCCTTTTCAAATACTTTCCCTTTTAGCCCCCGGGAAAACCAATCTTGGGGGGAAAAAACATTATTTTGGTAAAAAAAAAGGGAATTGGGTTATGCAGTCCCTAGCAGGGGGGTTTACTGCCAGGGGGGAAATTTATAGGCTGTTTTCCCGTGTGCAAAATAATAAAAAATTAAAACTTTTTTTTGTCGAAAAAAGAAAGTCCCCCTGATAACATTGTGCATACTTAGTGTTTAGTGTATACTACAGTGGCTCCCTTTTAATAGTGAAAAAGGAAAAAGTGTTTTTGGGAAAACAGGTGTAATTTTGTAAATAAAATTTGATAAGTATAGAGGCTGGTGCCGAAGTCCCGAAACTTACCACAGTGGTCAGCTGTTTTAATAATCTTCCTGGCCTGCTAGTGTACTCGCATAATTTAAACTAGTGATTTCCCGTGAATAGCAGGAAAACAGTGTTTTTAGTTTGCAAAATAACCAAATATTATAATGGTTAAATTAGTGGGTGGAGTTTACTTTCTTTTGTTTCTTTTTTCTTTAAATTCCAGCGTTTTACTGTGAAATTTATAAAACCGTAGTTACAAACGGTGCAAATTTTCACAAAAAAGAAAACAATTATTACTACAGAAAAAAGCGTTTCCCTTTCCCCCAAATTTCCCCAGGGCAAAAAATAGTTTATAATTTTAAACAAATTTTTTGTGGTGGAGGGCGAAAAAAATAGGAAACTTTGATACAGTGTTTTATAAAAAAAGGGTTGAGGCTCGACCGTTCGTCACTGTAGGGGCTGCCCGAAAACACCGGCTCTTCAACACGCAAGTTATACTTTTTTTATCAATTTTAAAACACAATTTTCTCGGGTTTGATAATTTCAAGTAGATTTTTTTCATGTGTTAGCCCCCAAACAAGACTAGTATTTTTAAATAAGTGGGCCCACTGAAACAGATCAGATCGACTGGTCCGCCCCCGATGGTCCCAACCCTTTATGGTCCGAAACCCCCGGGCTGGGTTTTAAACGGTTTGGTTTGGGCAATAAAAACAGAGTAAACGGATGGGGTTGTAGGGGCCCTTATCAAAAACAAAAAAAAAAAAATAAAAACGGAATGTACCGGTAAGCTGCCAATATTCAAAAAACGTTAGAAAAAGAAAAACAAATAGTTAGAGGGCCCTTTTTTAAGGAGGTTAAATTTTTAAAAAAGGGAAATTAAAAGGGGTTTCCCAGTAAATTAAAGTAAATCAAAATATTCAAAACATTATGAAGCTCGTATGTCTGCAGTCAATAAACAAAAAAGGGCTTCCACATGGAAAAAAATTGTCAAATTTTTTTGGGGAAAATTGGGTTTTTCACGCCCCTTGTTGGGAGATATCCAAGGGAAAGCTACAAAACAGGGATTAAAACAGGGGAAATGTTTTTGGGTATGCCAAATGAGGAAAATCTGTGGACTAAAAAACCCCCCCCCCCCAAGGGGATTTAAAAAAGGATAACATCAAAGTGCTTTCCCTTTGACAAATGGAAGATTTTTACAAGATGGGAAAAATAAAAAGTTTTGGGCTGAATGGTACTGCCCCCGATACTGGCCCTGAGTCAGAAATGTAAGGCTGGAGGTGATGTCCTGGTAGTAAGTAATGCCGGGGGTGTTTGTGCTGTCCTGGGAGATTTGGAAAGGTGTAAGGGTGGAGGTGCTGTTTCCCGGGGACAGTAATTTGGGGAAATGGAGGTGCTGTCCCGGGAGACAGTTAATTTGGGGAAAATGGAGGTGTTTTCCTGGGAGCAGTAATGGGTTTCAGTGGGGGGTTTCTGTCCCGGGAAGACGTTAAAGGTGAAGCTTTGGGGGTGCTTTTCCGGGGGAGTTTTGGTGAAGGTGGGAAAATTTTTTTCCCGGTAGTCGGGGAAATTTTAGCAGGGGGAAAAAATGTAATTTAAACCCCATTGGGGACAGGGAAACCGTTTTTTGGGGGAAAAAAGGTTTTTGTCAAAAGATAAAAATAAAACCAATATTTCAAAATAGAAATTCCCCAGGAAATGAAAACAAGGGGAAATCCACTAGCAAAGTGAGGATATTTACCAAAAAACCCGTGGTGGGGCCTTTGTTGGGGGGTAGGGAGGATAGGGAAAAAGGCAGGGAAACTTTCACCCAAAAAGGGGAAAAACAGTCACAGAAAAACCCAAAGGGAAAAAAAGGTCAGAGAAATAGCTTTCAAACGGAATTTAAATAAAAGGAAACTTTTAGGAGTCAGGAATCGCGGGAAGAAAATAAAAAACCTTTAAAAGAAATCGAGAGAAAAACCCAAAAATATTTTCTTTCCTATGGCCAAAACCAAAATTTGAGAACAACGTCCCGTATTGGGCCCTACTTAAAAAGAGGGGGCCTACACAGGTGACAGCAAAGGGAAAAGAGTGAGTTTCTCAAGTTCCCCTTTTGATCAGTTTTTTGCAAGGCCTAACCGACTGAGGGGTCGAAGATCAAAATGAATTTTTTATGAGAGAGCCACAAAATTGGTTAACACAAGCCTACCCAATGTTATCCTGACACCAAATGACTTCGAACAGGCGATAAATGACATGCCCATGCACTCTGCCTCAGGGCCAGACTCATGGAACTCCGTGTTCATCAAGAACTGCAAGAAGCCCCTATCACGACCCTTTTCCATCCTATGGAGAGGGAGCATGGACACGGGGGTCGCCCCAGTTACAAAAAACAACGGGACATAGCCCCACCCCAAAAAGGGGGGCAGTAAAGCAACAGCAAAGAATTTACAGACCGATAGCACTAACATCCCCTATCATAAAAATCTTTTAAAGGGTCCTAAGAAGCAAGATCACCACCCATCTAGAAACAAAAACAGTTACACAACCCAGGGCAACATGGGTTTAGTACAGGTCGCTCCTGTCTGTCTCAACTATTGGATCACTACGACAAGGTCCTAAATGCACAGAAGATAAAAAGAATGCAGATGTAATATATACAGACTTTGCAAAAGCCTTCACAAGTGTGGGCCATGGCGTAATAGCGCACAAAATGCGTGCTGAAGGAATAGCAGGAAAAGTCGGTCGATGGATCTATAATTTCCTCACTAACAGAAACACAGAGAGTATCGTCAACAGAGTAAAGTCCGAGGCAGCTACGGTGAAAAGCTTGTTTCCACAAGGCACAGTACTCGCTCCCCTCTTGTTCCTCATCCTCATATCCGACATTAGACAAGGATGTCAGCCCCAGCACCGTGTCTTCCTTTGCAGATGACACCCGAATCTGCATGACAGTGTCTTCCATTGCAGACACTGCAAGCTCAGGTGGACACCAACCGAATCTTTCAGTGGGCAGAAAACAATAATGAAGTTCAACGATGAGAAATTTCAATTACTCAGAATGTAAACAAAGAGGGAAAATTAAATCTTCATCAGAGTACAAAAAAAAATTCTGGCAAAAAAATAAAGCGAAACACCAACGTCAAAGACCTGGGAGTTATCATGTCGGAGGATCTCACCTTTAAGGACCATAACATTTTATCAATCGCTCTGCTAGAAAAATGACAGGATGGATAATTGAACCTTTCCCAAAACTAGGGAGGCCAAGCCCATGATGACACTCTTAAAGGTCACTTGTTCTATCTAGGCTGGAATATTGCTGCACACTAACAGCACCTTTCAAGGCAGGTGAAATTGCTGACCTAGAAAATGTACAGAGAACCTTCACGGGGGCGCAAAAACGGAGATTAAAACACCTCAATTACTGGGAGCGCTTGAGGTTCCTAAAACTGTATTCCCTGGAACGCAGGCGGGAGGAGATACATGATTATATACACCTGGAAAATCCTGAGGGACTAGTACCGAACTTGCACACGAAAATCACTCACTACGAAAGCAAAAAGACTTGGAAAGGACGATGCAAAATCCCCCCAATGAAAGCGGGGGTTTTCACTAGCACGTTAAGAGACCATACAAAAAGTGTCAGGGGCCCGAGACTGTTCAACTGCCTCCCAGCATACATAAGGGGGATTACAAACAGACCCCTGGCAGTCTTCAAGCTGGCACTGGACAAGCACCTAAAGTCGGTTCCTGACCAGCCGGGCTGTGGCTCGTACGTTGGTTTGCGTGCAGCCAGCAGCAACAGCCTGGTTGATCAGGCTCTGATCCACCAGGAGGCCTGGTCACAGACCGGGCCGCGGGGGCGTTGACCCCCGGAACTCTCTCCAGGTAAACTCCAGGTAAACACAACAATAGCTCCAAGCGAGGTATCGCTTGGGTGGCATGTAATTTCTGAAAAAAAAAATGGAGTCATGGTACATGTGCAATATCCACCAATTTTCCACACTGATATTAAAACAGGGAAATGTTTTTGGGTCTGCCCAGGTGACAGAAAACAGTTGC